GTTGAGATTTAAGAAACGATCGAAAGTTTGTGCTGAGAAGAATTCCTTGTAAAAATTGCGAACTGAGCCTTCTATAGGAACATCAAAATACTTGAAGAAAAGGGCACGTGAATTACAATTGACAAGTGAAGGAGTTAAGGAAGGAGAGTGACATCCTTGCTTAGCAAGAGAGTCAGCGATATCATTGAGAACATCACCCGTATGTGATTTGACTTTGGTGAATGTAACAGAGAGGTTGAGTGAAGTTTGAATGTGTTTGACAAGATTCCATATAGAATAGTTGGGAATTTTTTCAAATCTTCTGGTTGATAATGAATTCATCACGATATATCGTGAGTATCCGTAGATTAGTGCTTGGCTATCAGTGTAAACGGAAATGTTTGAATCTTTAGATGAAACAATTAAGGCTGATAGCAGAGCAAATAACTCAGCTCTAGTTGACGAAGGCCAATTGATGAGTGAAGCACAAAATTGATGTTGTAAATTCTGATCGTCAATGCATATCCAACCGAGACCCATAGAACAGTCTTTAGACTTAGTATTCTTCAAAGATCCATCGGTATAAAAAGTGAGTGAATGTGATTGATTAAGAGCAGTTTGTAAATCCAGAAGTTGTGAAAGATAAGAGGAATCTCCAAAAATTGAGGTGATAATATTAGGGGAAATGGGTGCAACAGGAACTGCTGCAGGTCCATAAAATGCTTCAAAAGCTATTCGAGTAATTTCCATGAGGGTGTGTTCAAGTTGATTCGCGTAAGTGTTTCTTGTTTTCCTGTAAACAGGAACATAGAAAGCCCTATTCCTAGGGATACTAAAGATACATCCTCGGCGAGTTGGTGGTGTATTGAACAAGTTACATCCAGAACATTTAGTAAGCACATAACATTGATCATTGGTAGGAACAGCTATATGATGTACACATTGGAGCAAAGTAGGATCAGAGGTAGCATCATAGATTTTTCCAAAAGAAGGAGCATTGATTAACGGATTCCAAGAAGCAATGACTTTGTTGATTGTATCTACAGTAGGAGGAGGTCTAGCTAAAGATCTGTATGAAGGGAGAGGAGTACTACGAACATATTCTAGTTTAAGGGATCTATCTCTAGGATTATCAAAAACTAAGTTACCAATATCAGATATTAGTCTAGAGTTACCCATGTGTGTCGTAATGTGATTGAAGTCCCTAATAAGTAAGTCATGGTTAGTAATTAAATGTTTTCCTGAAACAGAGGTTAATTGATCTAGGTAAACTAAATTATGATTACGGAGGGTGGGAAGGTGACTTTCGAATAAAGGAAGTGGAAGAATTTTAGAAAGAGGAGTGGCACCACCTTTGATATGATTTTTTAAGAAAGGTGAAACAATTAAAGAAAGTTGTGAAGAAGTGGATTTAATAAGACTGAGGGAGGTGCCAATTAAATTGAAATTAGAAGATTTAGCCTTGTAAAGAAAAGGCCAGTGATCTAAAGGGGATGAAGCCAGCATGAACTGGGATTGAAGTTGAAACAGTCTGATGATAGAAATGTGTTTGTAGAGACAGGAGTTATTAAATTGAAAAAGAAGAGCAGTGGAAAGGGACTTGATTTGTAATGACCAAAGATCATTGACATTGTAAAACTGCTTAAAATTTAACAAAACGGTAGGAAGAGTGATGGCAAAATTATTTTTGGATTTGAAGAGCGAACGAACAGGGGCAAAAAATTTAGAGCATTCAGCTTCAGACAAAGGGGTAAGTTGCATCTTGTATTCAAGAGCAGGGCAAAGAACCATGTTGATAATATAAGCCATCTGTTTATCAGTGAGGGGTTTGTATCTCATGGAATTAACGAATTTGTTGATATCTTGCTGCAGCTGGTTTTTTACAAACAGGTGTGTGCATCGGCTATTGATCCAAACACCGAGAAAGCGGACAGAGCCTAATTCAGGTTGGATGTTAATATGAGATGATCCAAACTTTAAAACGATTGAAGATGTAGCTGAGACATTAGTCGTTAGCAGTTTAGATTTTGATTTATTGAGAGCAGAGCGAGTGAAATCATAAAATTCCTCTGCTACTTGTAAGATATCTTCTAAGTCTTGTTGTGAGCTAGCTATCCAATTTGTGTCATCCATGTAAGCAAGTGAAGAAACTGTTGAAGAGAGTGAAGATGATGACATGTTCGTGAGATCTGATGTCCATTTATGATTTATAGTATATCCTTTGCCTAGTGAAGCAACTTCACAGAGCAAGGGATCTAAATAGATACACCACAGGAGAGGTGAGATCACTTCACCCTGATCGATACCTATTTTGACATCATAGTAATCTGAGATTCCATTAGTTGTAAGGATGGCGTTCTTCCTGGCTGTGAATAAATTGATTAAAAGGTTGATAGCTAATTCAGGAAGTTTGATTCTTTGTAGAGCAAGTTTGAGATAATTTAAGTCAACTCGGTCATAGGCTTTCGAGAGATCTTGGAGAAGAACCCAAATTTCTTTGTTATTTTCATTGGCATCTTCGAGGAGCATGTTTAAGATCTTTATAGGAGGTTCAGTGGAGCCTCCTGGGAGACCAGCAAAGTTCCCACCTTTTAAGATGTCATGTTTTGCAAGGATTTTAGAGAGTCTATTAGTAATAATCTTGACGAAAGCTTTCCTTGTAGTTTCAAGAAGGGTGATTGGACGGGTCTTGGTAATATCACAATGCCATTCCATTGGTTTTGGTATTGGATAGATGTGAGCAATTTTCCATTCATTAGGTATATCACCAATTGTGAAACACATTTTGATCAGTTGCCATAGCAGGTGTTGTAGTTTATCTCCAATATGTGACATCATTTCGTTTGTAATCCCTGAAGGACCAGCAGCTTTATGAGAAGGAAGAGATTTGAGGGTTGCCAACCATTCGTCAAAAGTGGGAGGTTGCATTAAATTAGAGTACCAGTCATTATTAATAAATTCACGTGGATGATATTGTTGCTGCCATTTGTTATCCATTTGTCTTGCAGGGAAGTCAGGAAGAGCGTAATTTTGGAAATGATTGATCGCTGCTTGTTTAATTTCATCCGGATCAATGGTGAATCTTTTCGTATTGGTTGAAGAATCTTCAATGAGCAGTCTATCCATGACGATGGTACGTTTCTTTCTATTTAAAATTGAATCAATCATGGTAGAAGGAGATGCTTTAAGATCGTCACATCTTTTATCAATGAATTGTTTAATTTCAGCTTCTCTAATTTTTTGAAGGTCAGCTTTAGCTAGATGAAGCAGAGAGTCATGAATCTCTTTGAGTTGACGTTTAACCAAGCGAACGTTAGACGATGAGAGTGCAGTCGGGAGAATCTGCGGAGGAAGCTTCATATTGGTGATAATCTTTTGAATGCTAGCAGTAATTCGCGTCCAATTTAGGACAGAAGGCCATTTGTTTTGTTGAATCAAGCGTTCTTTAAACATCAGGATGACGGAGTTGACTTTGTTGATAGCGATTTGGGAATCCGGGTAATCATATCTTTCTTTGTGGAGGTCCTGAGGAGCTATCCATACTTGTGGGATGCATTGTTTGTTTGAGGCGATTATAGCATCCTTAATATTAGTCCACAGAGTATTCATATTAGTGCGAGAAGTTGGGAGATCAACCAA